ATACATGTTATACAATGTTCTTTTCATAACTTTTTATCATTCCATTTGTGGTTTAACCTTAATATTTAATCTTTTCTGAACATATTTTCCACTCTAAATTTAACTCTTTTAGTCGCGAATAGTAAAATCCTTTACAATACGAAGGTGTTAACAAAACCTGTTAATTTAAAGTAAATGGTTTGAACACGGGAGTATCGTTACATGTTTGTAAATGTAGATCGTACAGGTTGGTATAGTCCTGAGAAGGACTGTTTTTGTTGTTGTTGACTGACGTTTCGACAAGGCTGTTCTCGGGACTGGTATAGTCCTGAGAAGGACTACTGTTAAGGTTGTCGAAACGTCAGTCAACAACAACAAGAACAGTCCTTCTCAGGACTATACCAACCGGGACAATCAACATTTACAAACATATAACGATACTCCCGGGTTCAAACCATTTAATTTAAAACGTTTATTGTTGTGAACAATTGTTAAAAGTTAGAGCCATAGCTATATATTTAACGTTGTATTTCCATCAACATTATAATGATAAATTTTATTTTAAAAAATGAAAATAGAAAGTGAAGTTTATCATTCTTCAATATTTTAATCAAAAAAATTTTACTCGAAAAGACTCAATTCTTCAGTTCAAATGAACTTGTGTCAAAATCATAAAAGTTTTATTCATTAATTTTCATCACAGTTATTGACATGACGTCATGATGATGTTTTTACATACGGGAATTGTTGACAGTATATAACATTTTCTTTCTTTAAGGTCATATGTACATAATAAACGTACAAAAATGATCTCTCACATTTTTCAACTAATGACCATAAAACCCAATGATATGACATGATATCATGATGGTATTTTATAAATGTGAATTTTAACATCATACAAAACTTGTTTCTACAATATTAGCATGCGTAAAGTAAATTTTATTCACAGTTTTCGAAAGAATGTTCAAAGAAAGTCACTCTATAATTTAAACAAAATAATTTTCATCTATAACGACACCATATTGTCAAATGACTCACAATGAATGAGTTGTCGACATTCTTTCATTTCTATGTAGTAAACGTTTAATATATAATAAAAATAACCTAATTATCTGAGCATACATTTGTATTAAAAAGTAAACCATCAACATAAAGTTCGTCCAGAGATCAAAGATTTTTCACTTTTGGTAATTTTCACATGTAAAACAAGCGACCATCCTTACGACAATCAACATCTTCGTGTGATATATGAAATATTCCATTCTCCAAAGCATATTTAATCAAAGCAGTGTTCATCTGATCTTCAAAAATGTTCATCGACTTGATGTGTTCATGCACTTTCTCACAAGCATGCCATAAAAACTTATGTCCATTTTTGGGATCAACTGTAAACTCATGCTGTTCATAACCATCTGATTTCAACCAATCAATTAGAGATTTGTGATACACGGTTAAACAATCATCTTAAATTGGAAAAAAATTGAGATAGCACTTTATGTATTTTAATACGATCTTTAAGCTTCATGTCATCAGAAAAACCTAAACATTGAAAAAGAAAAGACAAAGGCAAAATACTTTGATAAGTCACCAACACTTCAAGACATTCCGTAAAGTTTTTATCTGAAATAACGGTTTTGTGTGTTGATAAAATTGTTTCTTTCAATAATTTATTTAATCTCTTGAATTGTTCTGTGTAAAATTTACTTAACCCAGTAGGAACCAATTGTTCAATATTCTCAACACTTAGCTCAGTTTTTTCTTTTTTTAAACTCTCTTGTGCGTGGTAAGCGTACAGAAACGAACCCTCACATTTTTCAACCAATAGAAATAGAGCGTAGTGATATCCTTGCACCCGATTATTCAAAATGTACTCAACCCATTCGAAACCAGAACCGTCAAAATTAACCGTCATTTGACGAATAATTAAACAAACAATTGGTGATCTGGTGTTCATGTTTACCCATGCTATGTAACTGTGTTCCTGACTGCGAGAATAATAGTTTTTTATTTGAAATTTTCTGAAAAGGATTAAAATTTACACATTTCATTATGGCATTAAAATTTCTAAACACAAGTCATGCACTAAGCATGAAATTTGACTTTATGACATACATACAAAGGTTAATCTTATTTGATCGCTACACACACATCACGAAGAACAACAGGCTTATTTACGTACCCTATAAGATGTAGAACACCTTATTTTTATCCTTACACCGTCAGAGATTCATCCTATTTGTGCCTGCTAGGTAAATTCTTTGATAATAACGTGTTCACCAACTACCTTGTTGTCAAATGATTCGTGTGATGGTACATTATTGGCATTTTCTTTGTGATGCAAGGATGCGTTTCAAAATAAGTGGCCTGGGCCCGAGAGGAAAGAAGCGCTTTTATGAATTGCAGAAGAGTTTCGCAAGAAGCTGCTCAAAATATTTCGATTTCCAAATTAGTTGACTCAAATGGAACTTACTTCTGAGAGAGTGATTAGTTCCAAAGGATTCTTATTTCTAATAGCTGTTTTTAGCATTGGCTAAATTTCAATCCATGCAATATAATAGGTATTTTTCAATACAGTAAGTTGCATTTAAGGTTACAGAATAATTTCTTTACAGAGTTTTTCGAGAGTTTTTAGGTTATTTGTTTGATATATTCTCTTAAAACATAGTTACGATAATCTTACAAAATTCTAAATATCCTATAAACATAATGACGCATTATAATGAAAGTAATCATCAACTAATACCATTTTCCCTGGACGATAATGTGACTGTAAAAGATACAAACAAAGAAGGCCGTAACTAGAGCGTTATTTGTGTTATTTTTTGTTGTTTTTTGGTTTGGTTTGGTTTGTTTTTTTTTGTTTGGTTTTTTTGGTTTTGTTGTTTTTTTGTGTGTGTGTATTTACTTATATATTCAGTTGTGCAATCAGAGCAGGACTGCTTTCTTTTAAAGAAGTTCGCACATAGACTTCTCTTGAGTAAAAATTTTTTCAAAATGAAATCAGAAGGACACAACTGAGAGTATGAACCCCTCCCTCCCCCCCCTCTCCCAAGCAATTAACGCTCTAGGGCCGACAGCTTTGCAAGCAATAACAACTGAGCATGACGACACCAGAAAGGACAATTTCAGTACCAAATTTTCAGTACGTAATCACAATGTAAACTTGCAGTAAAGCCAATTTTACATATTTATTTGGTTATTGGTCTACATTTAAGAGTTGGTCTCATAATTTTTAGGATATACGATATCTGTCTGCTAACTTAGCAACGCAACTTCCACCAGGAACAATCATTCAAAATGTGGAGGACAAAAAGAATAGCGGAATTTCTCATTAAGATATCGGCTCAGTAGTTGAACTCATTGTCTGACAAAATTAATTAAGTCAGTCCCACAAATCGGCTTAAAAGTAAATATTTTGACAAAATGTAAGATCTTCCCAAAAGATTTCAATTTTCGAAGTTATGCAAATCAAATTGAAAACAAGAGCTCATTACCGCATAAATCACCAAAACTCTGGGTATTCCATGATTTTGACAGAAAATTTAAGTTGTTTAACATTGAGGGTTGGAAACATGTATGACGTTTGCAGAAAATTACCGCTGACCTGCGTTGTGACCGAATCCAGTGTCTTACACTAATAATATCAAGCAATTCTACTGTGTTTTGTCACGACCATAAATAATTCTTTCGTAAACGCGTTGTTTTCCATGATGATAAAGCAGCCTTCAACCTTAAAGAAGAAAACACCTCCGAGACGAGCCTATCGCTGCTGGACGCGTAAAAGTTGGAAAAAAGGGCATGTTTGGAAAGAAAAAGATCTGGTTATTGACTAAATGTTGTCGGATGAAACAGCTAGGTGGGCGATAAAGAAATTTTGCTCAAAATATGAAGATTATTGCAATTCAACAATGACGTTTTCAGTTGACGTTTGTGATGAAAGGAACATCAATGAAACCTGACCGAAATAATATGACGTCAATTGCATCGATCAACGACTATCATCTCAGAAACAATCTTTTTTGAAAAAGCGATCAAGATGTATACGATATTGCATTCTATGCACATTTTTAGAAGTCATTCAGCTTTATGCAGGTTTTGCCGCATTTAGCTCCGTTGAAATCAATAGCTTTTTTAGGGGTAACATGAATACAGGATTCCTCTTTTATTGTATGGGCTCCGTCCAAACATGTACGTTTTACGATTTCAAAACTTTTCGTTATAGTGGATTGTTTTTACAAAAATGGCATACATTTGTAAAACAATCCAGGTACTGATTTCAATATTTTTCTTAAACTTAGTAAGTTTATCAAACTTCTTTATTTGCAATGCTTCTTTGAGTTATGATCGACTTTGTTTGACTGACAAGATGTCTCAATAAGCGTTTACATATATATTATCGGTATAAATTATGATTGGGACGTTTGCGCATACGCGTGCAGTTACATTAGAAAAGGTAAATAAGTATTCGAAATAAATAATAACAAAAGATAGCAAATGATTATTCATGAAGAAAAGATATTTTGTCCACCAGCGGATCCAATTAGAAAACATTCAGAAACAATCTTATGTCTCCTTATTTCTTGTCAATGTTAGTAGAAGCTTGTGCTATCGTTTGGTCTTGTTCTGATTACATTGGATTGCTTTTTAGACCTCTGATCTGAAGTATTTACAATTGTTCAATTTAACAGCAGTTAAAGCTTTATCTAATTTCAAACATATGAAGGTCCTCATACGTGGACCTTCAAATATCACATTATCACCATCACCCCACCATCCTTCTTCAATATCACTATCAAACCACCCATTATCACCACCACCATCATCATCATCATCATCATCACCACCATCATCATCATCATAACCATCACCATCAAAATTACCATCATCACCATCATCAATATTACCACCATCACCACCACATCATCAATCATCACCACATCATCAACACTCACCATCATCGACATCATCATCATCATCTATTCACATCACCACATCCATCATCATGCCATATTTCTTTGTCATCCAAAAATAAACAAGTGCACCAGAGTCACCTTTTTTAGGAATTGGCAATTACTTCTGACCTTCACTGCATTTTGAAAAATGATTTCTCTCTCGATTTCATTTGAAGGCCTTGTCAAGTGAGAAAAACTTCGCTCACTTATAAATCCAATGTTATGATAATCTGTACGAACTCTCACAGATTCATCTCCATCTTCGATTCTTTCGCAAAGTTCTTTACTTGCCTTATCTAAAGTCAAGGCAAAACATTCCATGTCATCTCCTCCATAAAAATGAAAAAAACGTTCATCACCGATGAAAATTCTCACAATATCAACTTCTCCGTCAAAATGACCAAACACGCCATTAGGAAAAGAGGGAAGTAGAAATTCATTACCACTGTTTGGTAGTTTGTAAAAATAAGCTGTACCTTCATTAAGGTATTGAACGGCACCGCGAAAGGCCAAAAAGGCATTTTCCTGGTTAAAAGCCAATGCACTGTCCACCATGTCACTTGCGCCATAAGCAACATGTGCGCATGTCAAGGCGTAATACTTATTGTTTTTGCCACAGAACATTGTCATTGTACCATGAGAGCTACTGGTTGATTGGTTTTCCAAAACAACATCATTAGGGCTTTGCATTGGATTTGGTGCATCATCATTTTGAACAGCGCGGAAGTTTGATAAATATCGAATCTTTGGTTTTTTGTAAGGTTTACGCCTGATTTCAATGAATTTTGATGCTTCCCATTCAAATATCTTGTCAATTTCTTTCTTTAAATCTTCATTGGACCTTCCTTTAATACCATCAACTGTGATATACAAATGAGGATATGGTATAACTTTGTTTTTTGTAACTGTTCCATAGTTGCCACATATCCAAGATATGCTTTAAAAAAGAATCAGAAATAGGATAAAAAATCTAAATTAAAAACAATGTGCCTATAAGTATCTATAAACAATTTTTATCTATTCATATACCCATTTGTCCTATCTTACAGCTAACACAGACGATGACACAAAGAATTTTGTTTTCCTAAACATACCTTTTGAATTTTTCATGTACGTCTTTTTTAATGTTGTAATGTTCATCAAGAAATTGGCTTTTCAAATTAAATCCTATAAAGAAATGTTGAATAATGGTTGACCAGTAACGACTTTTTTAAATAAGGGAAGATAATTAAGGAAAGAGGTATAGGCATCAGACACTAGAAGAGCTGTGGAAGAGGTCTGGGGACGATATACTTAAGGAGCTTAGGGTTTTGTTGACGTAACTGGCTGACCACCTAAATTTTACGTAACTGATCGGTCCTTCGCTCGACATAGTAGTTGAAATGAAATTTAAATTTTATGGTAAAAAATTGCGTTTAAAGTTTTACATCAACTCATATTTAGCTAACAGAACTTTGAGCTGGTATATCAACCCCCGGTTATCATTCTTTTACCTGGAAATCCAGGGGGAGGGGGAGGGCATTGTGTGAGATCAACATCTTTTCCATCCTTTACAGCTTGAATGACAACATCGAAGTCCTAAACAAAAGTTTTAATCAATCAATTATGCAACAAATAGAGCTTTGATTTAATGTACAACAATAAGATTAAGGATTAGGCTTAGGGATTAGGATTAGGAATTAATTTCGCGTATTTGTAGAACACCATAAAAAGACTTGTGGAGAATGTTAGACAATGCTTCCACTTAAATTTCCTTTCCGTTCCTTTAAAAATAACTCACCTTCGATATAATCAAATATTTTTTGGCATTTTCTTTGTCACCACTTCTGTTACAATTGCGAGCAGCCAATTTATACTGATCTCTCTTTAAAGTAAGTCCTTTTAATGTCTCTTCAAGTTTACTATCATTCTCACGCTGGGGTGACATTAGAGAAACCGGTTGTGTTCTTGGAGGAACTGTTGGTGTTCTTGAAGGATCTGAGGGTGTTCTTGGAGGAACTGTTGGTGTTCTTGAAGTATCTGAGGGTGCTCTTGGAGGATCTGTTGGTCTCCTTGAAGGATCTGATTGTGTTCTTGGAAGAACTAGGGGTGTTTTTGTAGGATCTGGGGGTGTTTTTCTAGGATGTGGAGGTGTTCTTGGAGGAACTAGGGGGTTCTTGAAGGATCTGGAGGTGTTTCTGGAAGAACTAGGGGCGTTTTTGTAGGATCTGGAGGTGTTTTTGGAGGAACTAGGGTTGTTCTTGAAAGATCTGGAGGTGTTCTTGAAAGAACTGGCCGCGTTCTTTGAGTATGTATTGGTAAAGCGGGAGGTTGCTTAGGATCATTGTTAGTAGGCTCACTAAGGACTCTGGAGGATGTTGATTGAGAAGGAGTGACCATAGGGGGTGTTTCAGATACACGGGACTGTGTTGGTGCTGCTGGTTTAGAACCATCTGAATAAAAAATCTCACTTTCGATATGGTATAGTGAAAATGTTTAGAAAACAAAGGTGTTTTGAAAGATATACTATACGTATGGTGCAGTGAAAAGTTTAGAAAACAAAGGTATTTTGAAAGATGTACTATACATACGGTGCAGTGAAAAAGTTTATAAAACAAAGGTATTTTGAAAGATGTACTATACATATGGTGCAGTGAAAAAGTTTAGAAAACAAAGGTATTTTGAAAGATGTACTATACATACGGTGCAGTGAAAAAGTTTATAAAACAAAGGTATTTTGAAAGATGTACTATACATATGGTGCAGTGAAAAAGTTTAGAAAACAAAGGTATTTTGAAAGATGTACTATACATATGGTGCAGTGAAAAGTCTAGAAAACAAAGGTATTTTGAAAGATGTACTATACATATGGTGCAGTGAAAAAGTTTAGAAAACAAAGGTATTTTGAAAGATGTACTATACATATGGTGCAGTGAAAAAGTTTAGAAAACAAAGGTATTTTGAAAGATGTACTATACAGTCACTATAAATGTATAACAATTTTCGAGAAGAAAATTTGTTGTTGTGATAAAACATTTTGAATTTACTACTTCAAAGTATATTCAGTAAACGCATACAGTAAAACCATAAAGTTTAGTACATAGCGTTAAAAGTGGAAAAACCATACCTAATGGTAATTCAGACCTAATGGTATGCATGTCTTTGTCTTCTACGACCATTAACCTCGCATCAACCACTTTGACATCTTCTGCCCAACTAAAGTCAACCTTTTCGCCACATTCAATCATATGGTGGACTCCATTCTTCAAAGCATATTTAATCATAGCAGTGTTCATCTGATCTTCTGAAATGTTCATACACTTCATTTGTTCAAACACTTTCTCACAAGCATGCCATAAGAACTTATGACCATTTTTTGGATCAACTGTAAACTCATGCTGTTCGTAACCATCTGATTTCAACCAATTACTTAAAGATTTGTGATACACGGTTAAGCAATCATCGTAAACTGGCAAAATTTGAGATAACAGTTCAATGATTTTACTGCGGACTTCAAACTTGATGTCACCAGAAAAACCTAAATAGCTAAACAGTAAAGTTAATGGTAAAAACTCCCGACAGGCAGCCAACAATTCAAGAAATTGTATGAAAGTAGTTTCTGAGATAACAGAATTTCTGGGACTTTCCTTCGTTAACAATTGTTTTACTCTTTTGAATTGTTTTGTGTAAACACCGCTTAACCCACTAGGGACCAATTCTTGAATGTTTTCGTAAGTAAGCTCAATATTTTCTTCTTTCAAGCTCAGTTGTGCGTAATACGCATAAAGAAATGATCCCTCACATTTTTCAACTAATGACGATAGAACGTTGGGATCTTCATGCACCCGATGATTCAACTGATGTCTCAAAAATAGGCCCTTCCATTTTTTAACTATAGACAGGGAGGCACTATCACTATTTTTTGGGGCCGGATGACTCAACTCATGTCTCAAATAGTTTTGCAGGTCTTCTTCGTTGTTTTCATCACGAGGACGAGTTGTAATTTCCACAGGATTCATGTCTTTAAACTCTTTTTGAACAGGAAGTTCTGGACGACTGGTGACGAAGATTTTAATCCATTTAGGCAGTCGGTCAAATTCATCTGCAATCAATTCCAACAATTCACTTTTGCCATCAACTTGGCTTTCATCTAAGGCATCAATAACCAAAAGCATTGGTTTTTGATCTTTTAACGAATGCAATGGATTATTTAATAAAACACGGAATGCATCGGTGACTGATTTGTAGGAATTGTTTCTCTGTAATTCTTCATTCAGTTTACTTTTAAAATTCGATATTGTATCACACATGATACTAGACAATGATTCTATCAAAATTCGAGGATTTCTATAATCTGATCGATTATATCTGCAGAAATGCGAAGCAGCAAGTTTCTTCTTTTCAGAATATCGTCGGCACACCTCAGCAGCAAACACACTTTTACCAACTCCAGGACCGGCAATCAAAATCATGACATTAGAAGCATCTTCACTTCTATCATTAAACCAAATGTCGAGTTTTTCAAATAACCATTGTCTAGTGCCTTCAAGGTATTTTTTATTAAGATCTTTTATGAGACCGTTGAAATTACACTTATCAAGCTTTTCGACACCTGAACATGTTTTGACTTGCAAGATGTCTTTTACTCCTGCTACATCAGCTTTTGTTGCCATCTCTTGTGTAATTTCAGCTACATCAGCTTTTGTTTTTTTTACGTTCGTAACTTTTGTTGCCATGTCTTGTTTCAACTCTACAACATTTCTTTTTATTACTTTCACATCTTCTTTGATTTTTTCAGTGACATCGAATAACTGCTCTTCTTTTTTATACCATTCTTTTAACATTTCAATATAAATTTCCTCATCGGTGGTGAGTGGAGCTTTCTTTAATTCATCTATTTCAGTTTGTTGAATACCCAGACCAACCAATGTTTTAGAAATTTCCTGCCACAAATCCTCAAACTTACTGTCATCTACACTAGTTTTAGTTATGTAACAGTACAATTTGTTTCGATAAAACTTTATTCTTGCAATGTTTGCTGAGATTGAAGTATCTGAATGGGAAGGAAGATTATCCCATCTACCATGTGGCGCTGTTAGACCACATATGTTACGCAATAAGATAGACAATAAAGAAATATTAAAGTTTTCAATGTCTGGTGAGCCAGTTGATGGGTAAAGAAGGTTCCATTGCTCTTTGTTAATGACGCTTCTTTTTCTTAATGATTCCAATGTACTTTTATTTGAGGGTTTATTAAGTTCATCGCTTAGGTTTGACGAGCGAAAATTTATATAAAACTGCAATGTTGTTTTCAAAGCTTGTGTTCCTTTATTTATCAACAGTTTACTTAAACGATATCCGTTTATCTCAATCTTTAATTTTGTAGAAGGTGAAGCCATTTTTCAAACTAAATATTAAGAATGAGTTTTTGCAAAAAGCATCAATTTTCAATGTGAAAAATTAACACAACATGAAGGGGATTAATAAAAAACAATATTACAAGAAATTTATAAAGACTTGTGTGCTTCATTTCTTTCCCTCGAAAAAATGGTGTTCACTGCCTAGTGATATGACCCAGTAATTAATCTTACATCAAGGCATTAAAATAGTTAACTTAATACAATGAAAAAACACTTGAAATTATAGTATTTTCGTCTACTCTGCGCGAGAGGCAGCAAGTACCTTGCGATAGTAACTCTTAGTTAATAAAGAATATATCTTATTTGTCTAACAATCGTGTGGTGAAGAGATACGTCGTTCTTTCAACAGGATATATAAAACTGGTTTGCTGTATTGTATGAATATTTGCTTATTAACATTTTGATAGGACTATATTGCTGATGATTCTGTTCCAATTTAAATTTTTGCTAGACTGCAGTTTAGCGGACGCCCGAAGCGCTTGTGACGGCGGGCTCGTTTTTGTTTGGATTATAGGGTAGATTATAGGTCAGCGTCCAAGGTGTCCGCTAAACTGCAGTAGTCCCCCATAGGACCATAGCTTGACTTTAATCATATATTTACATTCTTCGTCATTCTTGACAATCTGTTAAATCCAAATCGTCATCAATACTCATTGAAATGAAAATAAAGAAAACTATCTATCTGCTTTACATTTTCCTCACCAAAACACAGAACACAGGGTGAGAGATAAACAACGCGACATATGAATAAAATACAGAACAAAATACAAGTACGGACTGCACAGAGTATCAAGTTCCTTGTATTTTTTGCCCAAACGAAATATACTTGACGTCTGTAATCACCAGTAAAAATGAATGTATAAATGAATGATATTTTCAGCTGCATGGTTTTGACTATAGTCACTAAAACAAAGTGCAGATTATACGCTCTAAAACATAGGTAATTGAAGAACAACATAAGTATTGACTTTACTTAAAATAATTCTATTCGTGATCGTTCGCATATGCGACTATCACCGATGACACAGCCGAGCATATCACGACGCAGAAACACTGCCTACCTCACTGCCTCACTCAGACACTTTTTCAGTATGGCATAGTGGTTAGCCGCGCATGTACAGTGGCTACCCACAAAAGCTAACTAGTGATATATCATAATTTTGTTATAATACAGTATAACTTGACGTCTACAACTGCTCCCCCCCCAAAAAAAATGTTGTTGGACTTCGAAATTTTACATCCTAGCCACATGCCTACTCATATTGATAACACTAAAAGTGTGATTCCGTTTGAAGATGCTACGAGAAATTCTAAAAAACTTAACAATTGATGAATGTCTTCTGCCTGATGAGATACCGTAAGGAAAGTACAAATAATACACAAAACATTCATTACTTTTTCTATTAACTTCAATTTTGCTATTTTCATTTGTCCAAATGGGAAGGCGCCGGCCCGTATTATATTACTGATCCAAGGCAAAATGCCCCCTTGCCTATCACCTCACGGCGGGCCTGGCCTGACAGTCAGTGAAATTTCTCTTCTTTGTGTTGTTACACGATTTAATTTAAGTAACTAAAACAGTTAGACACGTTGCAAAGCAAAACAAGTATCTTGATTTCAGTTTCTCAGTGTACATGCTAAATCAAAGTTCATCTAAGAATAAATTACGTGAAAAATGAATGATGATGAAATATGTACGTTGTCTGGCGTTCATTTTGACCACTAGAACATAATCTTTACTTTACATTTGTACATTGTACTGTTTACTTAAGTTTAATTATATTAAAAATAATGATTGATGATGAAATATATACGTTATCATAAGTTCATTTTGACCCCTGGAACCTAATCTTTACTTTACATTTGTACATTGTACAGTTTACTTAAGTTTAATTATATTTAAAAAGAAATGTCACATTATGACGTGGCTTCTGTGAATGTCAAGCGCATCACTGACTCAGAATTATTTATTATCAAACCTTTTCTTCGTGTAAGAGCCGCAATTTTTATAGAGGATAATTTGAAACAAAAAATGAAACCTACTTTCCAGTCGTGGTATTAAATATAGCTTTAAAAGTCACTTATAGAATCATTCAAACGATTTTCATTTGGAATGCAAATAAACATTGATTTGTTTATAGTCATACTTCATACTACGCAATACTTCGGTATAAAATTTTCTAAGTTAGAAATGTGAATACAAAATCGCGGTTAACTTAAGTAAAATTACCTTTGTTTTAGAAATAAGACTTCATATACGACGATGGTGTGGACAAAATTATGCTTGCTTTAGTTCTTTACATGTTACGTCCCTAACAAAAGATGAGAAATTAAATCATAAAAATGCGACGACAAACATATCAGTTAAAAAATGGTGAACATAATTCATACATTATTGAAACATCAGCTCTTTATTCATATGAGTTTTGTTACATAAACACATTAAAATAACGAACGAAGATGAAGAGTGAGTGAGGATCTCCTACAACAAACAGTATTATTCTATGACTAAGTATACATCACTGACTAAAAAACAGTTGTTATAGAAATAAAAATACATAAATAAGAACCTCATGCAGAGTACATCTTTAACATTGAGATAAGTCAAATTCCAAAGGACTGCTGCTAAATCTTATAAAGTTTAACAAGTTTTAACTCAGGAATAGCGAATCACCTATCTAAGACAGGATTTGAATGCCAATGATTAAGACACGATTTTCGTTACTGTAAATGAATGTTCCCTTCATTAATCAAAAATTCAATAGATGTATATTATTGTATTAGTCTGTTCAAATTACAAAAATTCTTTGTTATTAAAGGAAACTTTGCAATTCATGAAACACATCAAGAATTAACTGCACGCACTTATAATTTCTTAAGATGAATAAAAAACACAGTTGATACAACCGTAAAGGATGCAATGTAAGTAAACCATAAAACTGTTAAACTAACATGATCAAAAGTATATGTTTTAAAAGCTCACAATGTTGCATGAATGAACATTTCACAAAAAATAGATTTGGTCGTGTTCTTCCTCTGTATATATAAATTCTTCCTGTGTGTAACATTTGCTTATTTTCCTAATTTCTTTACTTTCAAAGTAAATGGTTTGTTGAATGCAATCATCAACCTTTTTTAAGACACACAGAGATTAGTCAAAATTGGCGTCGGCAAAGAAAGGAGGTGATGAAAAATTGGACATGTTCCCCTTTCTACATTAATTTTCACGTATCCCCATTTTTTCTATAGACAAGTATAGTTAGTATAACTCCCGCAGCATAAAAGTTCTGGCATCCGCATGCAACGTTTGTTATTATTGATAGTAGATGTCAACTAGATACATACAGAAAATGTACTTCGAATTAGATAGGAAATGAATAAACAACAAACAAAACAACAGAATATATATAAAGTATCATTACCGATTGTTCACGTTTATATCCAGATCGCAATGATTCGTATATTTTCAATAAAGACTTAGAATTAACAATAGATTACGCGTTCTTAAGTTTACATTAACGACAATATTGTTTCGATTTTTTGGGACTGGCACTAGTGTAAGTTACAGTTTACAAAGAAAAATTCAGCATCTTACAAATAGAAAATATTCTCATGTTATTCTGCCTTCCCCCATACTTTTGAATAAATTTTACTGTTCTTTTACCAAGCAGCTTATGGTCAATAGTTAAAAAGTTTAAATATAAACTTAGATATGATTTCTCATGAATGTTTATTCATACTTCATCAAGATGTTTCTTTAGCAAATTTGTTATGTCGGTAATGTAGATATAAAATCTTGTTTTACTTTTGTAGAATTACTTTTGTTTTAGAAGTAGGACTTCATATATGACAACCTAGTCGACCCAATTTTGCCTGCTTCAGTTCTTGAAATGTCACATACCCAACAAAAAATGAGAGATTTAATATAAAGAACGCGACCACATACATATCAGTTTAAAAATGGTGATCGTAATTCATACCTTATTGTAACATCAATCTTTTATCCATGTAAGTTTTGTTACATAAACACATTTAAATAGCGAACGAAGATGAAGAGTGAGTCAGGATCTCCTTCAACAAACAGTATTATTCTATAACTAAATATACATCACTGACTAAAAACATTTGTTGCAGAAATAAAATACATAAATAAGAACCTCATGCAGAGTACATAATAACATTGAGATTAGTAGAATTCCAAAGGACTGCTACTATATCTTATAAAGTTTCACAAGTTTTATTTCAGGAATAGAGAATCACTTATCTAAGACAGGATTGAAATGCCAATGATAAAAGGACACATGCAAGCTAGAAAACAACTTTATTTTATTGTAATGCCTATAGCGTGAAAATAAGACGTACCAAGTTTCAAAGTCGTCCGCGAAATATTTAAAAAGATATTTAGGGTTATAATCGGTAAAAACATGATATTCGATGACCATTGCTAAAACGCCGTGAGATTGTTTAAGTCTGGGAACTGGGAAAGAGTGACGTATTAGTTGACATAAACAAGCATCGTTCTTAAGGCGCATCTCCACTAGACCATTTTTGTGACGATCGTCTTAAAATTTCGCGACAATATTTTGAACACGAATTATAGGACGATTTTGTTAGTCATCTCCACTAGACGATTATTTCGCGGTGTTTTCCAATAAACAAAATGGCGTCTATAAATAAAAGATATATTCTATATTTGCTGCTTCGTAGAAGATATTTATTTCTTTACAATCTTCACCAAAAAATGCTCAGGGAGAACACCAAAACGAGAAAAAGGAAACGTCGATTTTGGATAAGAAAGCTGTACGAAGAAAGAAATGTGAAAGGAGAATATAAGTTATTGATAAATGATATCCACAGAAAAATTGGACTTTTGAGACTTACTGCCCACTTCTGATGAGTGTGGAAGCTCTGTAATAATTAACTCATCTGTTGTTTCTTCGTTACTAGTAGCCATGTTGAAATCATTAATATGAACTGCTAGGTTGGCCATGTGCAATGTTTGCTCATCTCTGATATTTGATTTACGGCGGCTCACAATGGCCACCACACAAAATAAAAATATTAATACACACACAAAATAAAAATACACACACAAAATATGATTGCGGGCGCTTGCAGTGTCGGCTTACTCGGAATTGCTCGTAATTGATGGCTTTTGTTTTCAAAGTTCTAATGGTTCCAACTTCCAGAGTACATAAAAAATTCACTGATTTCACTGTGATCAATTATTTCAAAGTTGCTTACGATATTGCTCCCCGTATTCTGGCTAAAATTAAGGTTAATGTGTTGTCCTTTGAAAGGACATTATTGGTCTAGCCTGTCCTGTACCAGTTATAAACAACTTTGGGGTACTTGAAGTTGAAGTTAACGGACTTGCAGAGCTCGAAGGGCAACTGCTTGAAGAGACGCTACTCGTCATTGACGCTTCAGAACATTTTGGCAAAGGAGTTAATCTTCCCAAACGCACACCGCATTTGTGACAAAAAGAAGCTTCGTCAAGTGATTGTGCACCACAGTTGGCACAAAACATAATTATGCCAGGATTATGCAAGAGCTTGCTTTCGATTCCTTTCCAAATGTAATTTCAAATGTTTCGCAGTTGAAACAGTTAAATACGACGACAAGTCGACCACATGTTAAAATCACAATTAGTGAATTACACATATCTGATTACAAACTGATATGATAGTCAGACCATCCGAAACTGCAAGCGCCCGCAATCATATTTTGTGTGTGTATAATGTATTTTGTGTGTGTATTTTTATTTTGTGTGTGTATTTTTATTTTGCGTGTGTATTTTTATTTTGTGTGTGTATAATGTATTTTGTGTGTGTATTTTTATTTTGTGTGTGTATAATGTATTGTGTGTGTATTTTTAATTTTGTGTGTATAATGTATTGTGTATTTTTATTTTATGTGTATTTTATTTTGTATGTGTATAATGTATTTTGTGTGCGTATTTTTATTTTGTGTATAATGTATTTTGCGTGTGTATTTTTATTTTGTGTGTGTATAATGTATTTTGTGTGTGTATTTTTATTTTGTGTGTGTATTTTTATTTTGTGTGTGTATAATGTATTTTGTGTGTGTATTTTTATTTTGTGTGTGTATAATGTATTTTGCGTGTGTATTTTTATTTTGTGTGTGTATAATGTATTTTGTGTGTGTATTTTTATTTTGTGTGTGTATAATGTATTTTGTGTGTGTATTTTTATTTGTGTGTGTATTAATATTTTTATTTTGTGTGGTGGCCCTTGTGAGCCACCGTATTGATTGGCTAAAATTTTGACGATCGTAAAGCGCTTGACGAAAAGTTAAAACAGTTAAACTTTTCATCAGAATCAAAATCGTCAAAAATTTCGTCCGAACGAAAAGCCTTTTGCCTCTGCGCATGTGTCGTCGCGAAAATTTAAGACGATCGTCACAAAAATCGTCTAGTGGAGAAGCGCCTTTATATCGTTCTACGACTTGCACGCAATTCTTGCACGGCTTTCGGTAGTTTGCTATTACTGTTTTTCATTTAACAAAAATTAATGGATTCTTCTGAAGAAGAAGCCGATTATGATATTGTCGTCAATAACAATGAGGTACAACCTTACATGTTTGAGCCTTTGGCCAAAGGGCAAGGTGGTCATAGTAACGACAATTCTTCGTCATCGGAAAGCGAAGATGAATACATTCACAGAATTGGAAATGTTGAATGGTTAGTTGCATTTTATTAATGCTTCATTGTTTTTCCCAAAGTAGAAAGAATGTTTTTATCTTTTAGGTGCGATTGTGTCTTTTGTGTGGTCATGAGTACAGGACGGGAAAGTATATGTTGCCAAGAGGTAAACAACACTGATCCTCTGATACATGGCGATCATATTTGCATCACAAAAGAGGAAGAGTTTGCCACAGTATGTACAAACGAAGCTGTCTTAAAAACAGCTATGGTCGTGTACACACATGACATTGGACCTATGCCTGAGAGTGAAGGAAACGAGTAAATATTACCTTAGAAGTGTAATTACGTGTATGTCGACAAGTGTATAATGCCGATAAGTATCTTAGACAAATTTTGTATCTTTCAAAGAACATTACGCTACACGGCGTACCGGCAGTGGACGGCTTTGGTGCATGGAAGGTTGGGAAAAAAGTACCGACTACCCATACCTTCTTGTGCTGTGGACAAAATCCGGAAAGCATTTCTTTCGCCTTATGGAGAATACAAAGGATTTGAATATGCTCAACACTACTGAATGGTAGGGCTTATGACGTATGACAAAGTCTGTTCATTTGTAATTACGTTTATTTCATGTGGGACGTTATTTCTTTTTATTTATTAAAGCGAGATTTATGTTGCTTAATGGCTTCAGCTTTGCTGACTTTTGATTTGTGGTGAGTCAATGGGACAGGTATTTCTTTCACTCCAGCGACATCAAGAGCTTTGGAGAGTGTTGGATTAATGCGTCTGCAGTACAAAACTTCTTTCATCAAGTCTTAACTTATCCTGAAAAGCAAATCATTATTTATGTTGGCTTTGAATTGCACTTTGAGAAAAGGTAAGTTTATTTTTCTGTGCTAACCATAAGTGCTGTCAACTTTCACTGGTTTGATGACCCCTTGTCCTTCTTTTGATTTTGAATAAGCCACTCTCCAAATCAATGCCTCTTCTGTTTGCCCACCATTCTTCGTTTTCTGAGGTTTATTTCCATTCTCATTGAAATGAAGAGCAGCAATAAACAATCTACAAATGAATGTTAAGTTTATGTTTACAACTATTGCAACTTATTGCTTTTGCAATGATGACTTTTTTAAGTAATCATAAACTAGTCATAATTATATTACCTTGCTTCGATTGATCTGTGGAAAAAATGGGTATGTTTTGGTGCAAAAAGAATCACCACTCGGTGGAAACCTTCGATGGATGAAGTCTGCTTCTGATAACTGAGTTTTCCAATATCTCTCATGAGATACTTGGACTCAACAATCGAAGACAGCTCAACATAAGCTTTTGCACCTAAGATCAGAAGTTAGTTAACAAAAAGAAAAAGAATGTTGATGTTACTTTGAACTTTATTTGCTTACAATACCTTTTTTTATCCACATTCTAAGCTCTAACATATCATGTTCACATTTTGGGAATACATCACTATGTCCCTCATGGATATCACATATATGATTGAGAACTAACAACCACTTTGCCTTGACAAGTTCTTCATCACCATTGCTGGAAGCAGCACACCAGTATACATGGTTGGAAATTGATTGGGCCCAATCCGACAATAATTTGCACCCTTTTTTTTTTGATGCTGCCAAAATTTTCTTTTTGATTCCTGTTGGAATTTGATTATTGATGAAATGTGTAAAAAGTTGGTTTGTTATGACAATCTATACCTTTTGCTACATGCCATACATCAAAGTAGTGCTCAATTTTTGGTCTTTGTTTTGACATGTAGGATTTGATTTCAGCATGTCTGTCTGTGGTCATTGACTTCACCTTCATCCCACTTTCATCAAAATTTGCCAGACATCTCTTTAATCCTCAAGTTCCATTGTTCCAGAGTTCGTCACTTCATTGGACTATGTAACATAATTATGTGAGTATTCTAACCATGTTTTATGTACAGTTGTTGAAGAATTGTTACCTGAACAAGTTGTGTGTCTAAAATGTTGTTAGATTCCAAATCCATGCAGCTATATGACCCATACTTGGCACAATATCCAGGCGAATCACATCTTCCATCTCATCCAAGGTTAATGTTCCTTTCTCTGATTGATTTTAGAAGATGCTTTTGGTTCATATGCCAAACATTTGAAACACTGGATATCAAATACGCTGTTTGAGTATTGTTATATGTGCGCTCTGACAGAAATTGTATGCCTGAGTGACGAAGGAATTAGAGAACTTTGCTGGGGCTACTACCACTAAACAAAATGAAGGCAGCAAAGACCAAGTTACCCAAAGGCATTCGCCCATGCAGAGGTTGGCTATTCCAGTCTCGAACATAACCACAATGACATTTTGCTAGTACGTAAACCATATTACCAGTCGTTTTGGTCACAACGGAACAGCTTTCACTACAACATGGGCATTGACTCACTGTCTCAGGCAACTATCAAACACTATGTATTTTCTCTCATTTTGAGCATCTTTCCTATAACATAAAAATTACCATCAGGATCAGAGAGAGATAAACTTAACGTTCGGAGAAACATATGACAGGTAAAAGCAATGTAAAGAATAGTCAGGTGACTGGATAGTTGGTACTAACGTTGCATTGTCATTGTCGGATTCTTCATTTTCGCTTAACTCATTTGAACATTGAGAGTCTGATCCATTGTTGCTATTGCTCATCGTCGACGTGCTTTCTGTATCAGACCATACAGCGCTATCCTCAAAATGTTCAATTTCACATGACGTCAACTGTGTGCTGTGATTTGTTGTTGAAATTAACTCAACCTCCCTACCTTAGCATAAAATTATCGTATTGCTGGATTTTTCACAAAAATCAAAACGGCCGAAATGGAAAGTCTATACCTCTACTTATCATATTTGGCACTTTTGTTTGAGTGGTTCTTGACCTTACGTATTTTTGCGGACGGATTGTTATGGCTGCTTGGCATTTCACATTGCGCTTCTAAGGTACGTTAAGGAATTTTTTATGAGTTAAAGTAACAAAGAAAAGTTCAAACGACATTAGTCTGAATTAGTTACTACTGTATATGTTTGTGTTTCGCTGTCTACATATATTTTGACATCATTCATCTTAGACAAACTTCCTTTGAGGTAAAACGCACAAAAACTTCGAGCCGATGTCGACACATCATGGTCGTCGTCTACAGGAAAGTCGTCATGTTCTGCAAGAACGTCGTCAATAATCTAAAATTATAAAATTGTCTTCAATTTGGTAATGCTATATAGCTTAGTTTTTGATAAATGTAAACAAATATTGCTAACTATAACTATAATATTCACCTCTTGCCTTCGTCTCTTCTCAAATGCAGTTCTAACATTTGTTGGCTGCTTCCTTTTAGATGCTACACTTGTGGGTTCCACAGAGTATTCATAAATCGTGGGTACAGCATCCTTCTTAAGGCGAAGCCGTCCTGCTGTCCATCTTACTGATTGCATCGCTTCAAAATTTTGCACAAATCACGAACTCTCAAAATGTTGCAAGCACAATTTTGAGCTCTTTGCTGGCTTCCAATTTTTGCGTCGGATTTTTTCAATCCAAATATCTCGCATGCGCTTGTTTTCGGGAAACGAAAAAAAGAAACCTTTTGCTGCGTTTCGTGGTTCTTAGAAGAACCGTTTTTACAATTAAATGCGGCACAATAAACAATATTTTCAATGCTAAATTGTCGTGTTGTTAAGAAGTTACCAATATATTTTGAACGAAGCGCGCAATTGACTGCGTTTAGCGAATGTCAACTATTACGTCACAACGACATCGTTAGCTGTCGCTAGCTCGTCGGGCATTTTCAATGCGTTATCAGTAAAGCATCAACTATAAACCTCCATATCTTCAGAAATATTTATCCTTTGAGTCTCAAACTTTGGTGAACTATTAGTTGGAGCTATACCTTCATGTAAAGTACAAAAACAACAATCCGAATTTTATGTTGCATGTGCCCTTTAAGACACAATTTTAGAAATTGTGAATGGATTTTTCTCTTCATTTATCAAAAATTCCATACATGTACACTAGGTGCCAAAAAAATGAGTCCAGTTCCAATATTGGGAGAATTGTGGGGAAAATGTGTCTTTTGAAATATATAGTTACAGTAGCCACTTTAAAATGAGCAGTGAGACCTGAAATTGTCTCCCACAATTGTTTGCAAGATATTTCACAATATCTAAGCGCATATGCAGTACATGGGGAAATGGCTGAAGATTTAAGTGAAGGAGTTAGAGGACAAATTGTTGCTCTCACTAACGAATGTTACTCATAACGAAATGTTGCTGCAAAGCTGGGAGTGTCCAAAGGAGCTGGGGAGCGAACCGTGGAAAGATTTAAAAGACGCAATGTTATTCCAGCTTACCAAAACCTGGGAGACCACGTATAACAACAAAAAAAGAAGATCAGTTCATAAAGCTAAGTTCTTTGCGCAACAGACGAGCAATTGCTACCAACATTCAATCGTCAATTAACGCCACCCGAGAGAAAGCAATCCGCAAAACAACAGTAAGAATGAGATTGGCTGCAAGTGGTCTGAACGGAAGAGTTGCAGCTTCAAAGCCGTTGCTTCGCCCGATAAATAAGCGGAAGAGATTCTTGTGGGCCAAAAAATACAAGCATTACAACGTAGACAATTGGAAAAAAGTACTTTTTATTGATGAATCAAAGTTTGAAATACATGGAAATAATCGCCGTGTTTATGTGAGACGAAGATGTGGTGAAAGATTGTCAAGTCAGTGCCTCAAGTCCACCGTCAAGCATGGGGGTGGAAACATTCAAGTCTGGGGCTGTTTCAGCTTTAATGGTGTTTGGAGTCTTTACAGAATAAAAGGCAATCTTGAGAAAAAGCAATACCATTCTATTCTCCAAAGGCATGCTGTACCATCTGGCAAAGGTTATGCGGGAGAGGATTTATCTTACTACAGGATAACTATCCGCAACACAGCTCCAACTTGTGTACAAATCATTTAAGGAACAAAGAAAATCAAGGTGAATTAAAGCTCATGGCATTTCCGCCTCAATCGCCCGATGTTAATCCAATTGAACACTTATGAGATGAGTTAAAAAGAGAAAAAGTGAAACATGACGTAATAAGCCAGGAGAGGCTATGGGATGTAATCTCTTCATGTTGGCATTATATTGAACCATCAACACTTCAAAATCTTGTTAAATCTATGCCAAAAAGAGTTGAAGCCATTCTCAAAGCTAAGGGAGAACATACCATGTACTGACATTGCTTTTTCGAGAACGTAAAACCTAACATTGTTGTGACAGAGTGGTGATATGGTTCAAAACTAAAAATATGCATTCGATATTTATTGGACTCATTTTTTTGGCACCTAGTGTATGTTCTTGCATAAGTCAGTTCATATTATAAAAAACCTTTATTATTGAATAAACCATTGAAAATTATGAATACATGACAAACATCAACTGCACGCAATTATAATTACTTATGATCAATAAAGACACTGTACATACAACAGTAAAGGATGCAATAAAAGTAAACCTTAAGACTGCTAGATAAACAAAATAAAATTATAATTTTAAAAGCTCACTGTGTTGCATGAATCAACAATTTACAAAAATAGATTCGGTTGCGTACTTCTCTGTGTAAATACATTCTTCCTGTGTTTAACATTTGCTTATTTTTTAAATTTTCTTACTTATAAAAGAAATGGTTTGTTGTATACAAATATCAACATTTTGCTAGACACACAGAGATTAGTCAAAAGTGGCATCAGGAAGAAGGGAGGTGATCCATGATTGGACACGTGCCCCTCCCTACATAAATTTTCACAGATTCCCATTTTTTCATAGACAAGTATGCTATTTCACCTCACCCATACCTTTGAAAACGTTTTGCTTTCCTTTACCATGCAGCTTATTGCCAATAATTAGAAAGTTGGTATATAAATTTAGATATGATTTCTCATGCATGTCTAGTCATACTTTATCGAGATGCTCCTCTAGCTAATTTGTTATGTCGGTAATGTAGTTCTAAAATATCTGTCACATACTCAACAAACGGATGAAAGATTTAATATAAAAACGCGACCACATACATATCAGATTAAAAGTGATGATGAGAGTTGATACCTTATTGTAACATCAACCTTTTATCCTTATGAGTTTTGTTACATAAAAACATTTAAATAACGAACGAAGATGAAGAGTGAGTCAGGATCTCTTTCAACAAACAGTATTAAAACACATTAATGACGTCTATGTAGAACATTGTAGTTATATGACTAATTATACATCACTGACTAAAAACAATTGTTATTGAAATAAATATACATAAATAAGAACCTCATGCAGAGTACATAATAACATTGAAATTAGTCAAATTCTGAAAGACTACTGCTAAATCTTATAAAGTTTCACAAGTTTTAACTCAGGAATAGAGAATCACTTATCGAAGACAGGATTTGAATGTCAATGATTAAGACACAATTTTCGAAACTGTGAATGGATTTTTCCCTTTTACTAATCATAAATCCATACATGTATATTCTTGAATAAATCAGTTCTTATTATAAAAAACCTTTGTTATTAAATAAACCATTGCAAATTATGAAAACAGGGTAAACATCAACTGCACGCAATTATAATTACTTATGATCAATAAAGACACTGTAGATACAACAGTAAAGGATGCAATAAAAGTAAACCTTAAGACTGCTAGATAAACAAAATCAAATTATAATTTTAAAAGCTCACTGTGCTGCATGAATCAACAATTTACAAAAATAGATTCGGTTGCGTCTTTCTCTGTGTAAATACATTCTTCCTGTGTTTAACATTTGCTTATTTTTCAAATTTTCTTACTTATAAAAGAAATGGTTTGTTGTATACAAATATCAACATTTTGCTAGACACACAGAGATTAGTCAAAAGTGGCATCAGGAAGAAGGGAGGTGATCCATGATTGGACACGTGCCCCTCCCTACATAAATTTTCACAGATTCCCATTTTTTCATAGACAAGTATGCTATTTCACCTCTCCCATACCTTTGAACACGTTTTGCTTTCCTTTACCATGCAGCTTATTGCCAATAATTAGAAAGTTGGTATATAAATTTAGATATGATTTCTCATGCATGTCTAGTCATAGTTTATCGAAATGCTCCTCTAGCTAATTTGTTATGTCGGTAATGTAGTTCTAAAATATCTGTCACATACTCAACAAACGGATGAAAGATTTAATATAAAAACGCGACCACATACATATCAGATTAAAAATGATGATGAGAGTTGATACCTTATTGTAACATCAACCTTTTATCCTTATGAGTTTTGTTACATAAAAACATTTAAATAACGAACGAAGATGAAGAGTGAGTCAGGATCTCTTTCAACAAACAGTATTAAAACACATTAATGACGTCTATGTAGAACATTGTAGTTATATGACTAATTATACATCACTGACTAAAAACAATTGTTATTGAAATAAATATACATAAATAAGAACCTCATGCAGAGTACATATTAACATTGAGATTAGTCAAATTCTGAAGGACTACTGCTAAATCTTATAAAGATTCACAAGTTTTAACTCAGGAATAGAGAATCACTTATCTAAAACAGGATTTGAATGTCAATGATTAAGACACAATTTTCGAAACTGTGAATGGATTTTTCCCTTTTACTAATCATAAATCCATACATGTATATACTTGAATAAATCAGTTCTTATTATAAAAAACCTTTGTTATTAAATAAACCATTGCAAATTATGAAAACAGGGTAAACATCAACTGCACGCAATTATAATTACTTATGATCAATAAAGACACTGTACATACAACAGTAAAGGATGCAATAAAAGTAAACCTTAAGACTGCTAGATAAACAAAATAAAATTATAATTTTAAAAGCTCACTGTGTTGCATGAATCAACAATTTACAAAAATAGATTCGGTTGCGTACTTCTCTGTGTAAATACATTCTTCCTGTGTTTAACATTTGCTTATTTTTTAAATTTTCTTACTTATAAAAGAAATGGTTTGTTGTATACAAATATCAACATTTTGCTAGACACACAGAGATTAGTCAAAAGTGGCATCAGGAAGAAGGGAGGTGATCCATGATTGGACACGTGCCCCTCCCTACATAAATTTTCACAGATTCCCATTTTTTCATAGACAAGTATGCTATTTCACCTCACCCATACCTTTGAAAACGTTTTGCTTTCCTTTACCATGCAGCTTATTGCCAATAATTAGAAAGTTGGTATATAAATTTAGATATGATTTCTCATGCATGTCTAGTCATAGTTTATCGAAATGCTCCTCTAGCTAATTTGTTATGTCGGTAATGTAGTTCTAAAATATCTGTCACATACTCAACAAACGGATGAAAGATTTAATATAAAAACGCGACCACATACATATCAGATTAAAAATGATGATGAGAGTTGATACCTTACTGTAACATCAATCTTTTATCCTTATGAGTTTTGTTACATAATCACATTTGAATAACGAACGAAGATGAAGAGTGAGTCAGGATCTCGTTCAACAAACAGTATTAAAACACATTAATGAAGTCTATGTAGAACATTGTAGTTATATGACTAATTATACATCACTGACTAAAAACAGT